AATATGTAGTTTCGCTTTCATTGGTATTATATTGCACATGCACTATCTTAAGTGATTTTATTGAATGAATGAACCTTTCCCTTTAAAACTATACATGTACCTCTTAATATTGCACTAAAAGCATTAGATAAAAATGTGTGCATAAAAAAGGTTCTTACTCTTGACTCAAAGACTGCTAAATCAAAATCCTTATCATTCACAGAGCTTGCACTAGAAATTAAACCAGTCATCCTTACATAAAACTCAGAAAAAGATCCACTAGGACCTAAAACAAAACATTAAATTAAAAAGAATCATAATTATTGTATGAGAAAGCAAAAGCTTAGTTTATAATTTTTTAAGTTGCTCAAAAATTTGGCAGGCTATAGCCTTTGATCGTTGGTACAATTTTTGAGTAAATTTTAAAATTCATAAAATATCCAAACTTGATCAGAATCAGCGTAAATTGGATACACACCATAAAAATGTGTATATGTATCAGAAAAAATCATAAAAATGGAGAATTCTCCCCTGGGCATTTTTGACAAGATTTGGCCTGAAACCAAAGGCTATATTATATTAGCCTTTGGTAATTGGCCCAATTTTTGAACAGACTCAAAAATTTATAACAAAATTTAATCGGAATCAGCTCAAAGTTGATACACAACATAAAAAATGTGTATATGTATCAAAAATATAATAAAAATGAAGAATTCTCTCCTTGTAATTTTAATCAAAATACTCTTCAGCACAATTTTTGAGCAACTTGATGATCTACTAACAAAAATCTGCACATGCATAAATAGCACATACTTGAGACAATGATAGTGAGGTTTTGCATCTGGCCATTAGCTTGACAGGCATATTGCCCACCAATAGAAGAATTTGGAAGTATGAGATCAGATCCATTGGTATAACTTGCCATTAAAGAGGCGATTGAGCTACTTGATTGGAAGAGTTGTCTAAAGTCACTTGTAGAAACACCTTCCCTGAGTTCACTGGTATTTGCAATACTTGATGTTATAACATCGAGTATACTTGGAACTGATAAAAAAGATTTGAAAGTGATGCTATAGAATTTATTTTTGTACAGTACCTTGAGTTTGGTTTCTAACCCATGTTACTCCTATAGGATCCTGGCCACCAGGATCACCATTGTAAAAGCATATTAATCTAAACTGATATCCTTGATTTATTCTGTATATATCATCTGTAACCACTTCACCAGTACCCAAATCAGTAATCTGAAATTCTATAATAATAACAAAATTATTTCGTAATACTATTATATAGTTTTAAAGCATATACAAGTTACATGTGACTAGTATGGAAAGATTTCAATCAACACAAACAAGGGCATTATCTTGCTATATAAGTTCATTATCATAAGGACTCTGAATATTATAAATCAATTAAGATTTCCTCCTCATAGTAATGTTTCCAAACACATGCAACAGCATTTGTTTGGGCTATGATGAGCTGTAAAATTTAATAGTATAAAATAATTGGTCACAGACAAAATAGACATGACAAAAATGAAACGAAACCATGCATATGAGTTTAAAAGGATTAAACTGATTGTTAATATGACAACATTGAATGGAGGAAACAACCTGACAGATGGACACTGTAATTGCCAACTACCTTCAGTTTACACTATAACTGTCATGAGTATTAAGTACTTGGGTTGTCCTGCATATCTTAATGAGATTTTTTAAAAACTTTTTTAATTAAAAAACTAAGTCCTCTAGACTCATAGATCTATCTCCACAGCTAGTCCAAGCCTTCATTTATCATCTAAAAATGCTTAAAGAGCAGCGCTAGGGAGAAGAAGCTTGCAAAGTAAGGGAGAAAAAATTTAAAAATACAGCGGCAATTATGCTGACACTCTTGAGATAGACAAAAGCATTTTCCAGTAGAAAACTACCTTCTAATTCATTAATATGTGTAGAATTTCTTAATTCTTACTTGGTAGCACAGAAACCACGCCTCTATTGATAATTGGCAATTTTACATGTTTGCATTGCTGCTTGGATATCTTAATGCATAATTTTTTGTTTGCTGTCTTATGCATGATCTCTTAGGCAAATAAAATCTATCAAGACAATGATATCTGTGCCATCATAGTATATACGTAGGTGTTAGTTTTTAAAGCTCTTTTGACTTGAGTCAGTGCAAAACATACACTATAAATTAATTGAAAGCAATGCGGAATCATGGTCATCATCTCTATCATGCTGCATAATAGAGATAAAGCCCATGATTCATTGTTTTTTTATAGTGCATGAATTCAAAAGCAACTGCGGCGAGTCCAAGCACCGTAGGTGTCTCATTTATAGATTAATACTACTGATATCTTAACAGAAAGTATATTGCTACCTATAAATACATGGCATGGGAATAATATCACAAAAAATCAGGCTAAGATTACAGTAACCAACTAACCATTTAAGCATCAAAGAGTGAATGCATGCACATAATTTAATAATAAATCAACTCACGTGAATCTGCAACAAATAAAAGACACAGGAATAGAGCTACTGCTCCCCAAACTCTTGAGAATGAATACATCTTTGACCCACCTGAAAGAAAGAGAGAGAGAGAGAGAGGGAGAATACTGAACTATAAAGCTGGCAGTCAAATATATCAAGTGTGGATGAGTGGCTTCAGTACAACAGGAAATTACTGCATGTCATAAATACACTTATGAGGATTCTGTTGCTAATACTAAGCATAATATAATATTCATTAAAAATTTCCAGATACATGTTGTGTAATATTAGTCCTGTTTACACCAGTTTGATTATCTCAAACCACCTATACCTGAGGTGGTTTAGATCAGTTGGTTGCATTGAAATTGTCCACACATAGAAGTCTGGTAAACCAGTTTCAACTGCTTTAAGGGCATAGTGTAAATGGGGTTATAAAATTAATAGACTATTGGTTCTGGCTAATTGAACTCATGGATTCTGTTGCTAACACTAAGCAAAAATATATTCATTTTATACTGTAATATTATACAAATCGCCACAACCAACAAACACTTGTCCCACAATTGTATGTCCACACTAGAATTCTCTCTTAAGGCCTTTTCACACTGGCACAGTTTTCAAAGCGCTTTGATGCGCTTTGTTGATACAGCTGAAATAATGCGCATTGATCGTGTTCACACTAGCAGCTGAATTATGTATCATTTTGTGTTCTTGTTGCCATTGGTTTACATTGATCGAAGCGCATCACTTCACATCAATCCACCTCTGGAGGTGAAGCAAGACTGATGCACATTGATGCGCATTAATTGAAAACCACTCTAGTGTGAACACGATTAATGCGCATCAATGCGCATTACTTGTGCCAGTGTGAAAAGGCCTTTATTAGTTAAATACCCTGCACTATATGAAAGTCTGTGGTAGTCTCATGTAGCCAGACACATCCCATTCTGACATTGCACATTGCATTGATTGATTTATTGATTAAATTTAAATAGTAAATTAATTCAATGTAACACAAAGTAAAATTTAAAGGGAATGAGTTATCCGCCACACCAGTGAGATAATGAAAGGCTTAGGTACCTATCAGTTGTGGCTATTTTGAAGAATTTTATCTGTATCAGTGAAAGATGTCAAACGACTGACATTATAGGAGGAGTCTTTGAGTCATGGTCATTCATGAATCTCTTATTAATGTTAGATCTACTATATCATTTTATATATAATAATATTAATAATTTAATGATTATTTAATTACTTTTAAATTTTAATAATTATTTTTAGTATAGTAGGAAGCAGATTTAGATCTAATCTACATCAACAATTATTACTGAGTTACTTTTTAAAAAGTAAAAAATAGAGCAAATACAAAGAACACACAAGCTAACTGTAAAATGATAAAAAATTAAAGTTAAATGTTTTTAGGGAATAAAAAGTTAAAATTTGTCCTCATAAGCATCTTCTTCATCACTGTCATAGAAATCCACATCAACTTGCTCAACATGACGAGTGTGCTTACGAGTTGAATGACGCTTAACACGAGCTCCTTTGAGTTGAACCAAATCCAAGTCACCATTTTTCTTTTCACTATCAAGATCAGCTGGGCCATCATCATCTTCTTCAACCAGAGGAGGAAGGGCATTTTCGTTATCAGCCTCTGACAACTTGGCTAGAACAGATTTCTCATTTAAAGTGTTGTCTTTTGATTCAAAGGTGCTCGAAGAATAAGTGTTAGAGCCAGTGTCATTGGACAACCTCTTCTTGTTATGATTTGAAGAAGATAGGTAATATTTCAATGTCTTTTGCTCTTCTTTCACAAGACATGGACACAATA